AAAAGGTTTTTCAATACTGAGAGTGATGTGAAACTGGAATTTATATAGAATGATGAAGGAAAAATCATCATCTGAGGAAAATGTTGGATGCAAAAAAAAAAAAGACTTAATAGTTGGAATGAAGACAAGGAATTTCTTTGCTAAGGATGATGGGAAGGAGACCTTCTAAAGAGGAAGACTTTTGAGAGGTGCTGGAGTGAAGATAATCATTCACACTGGGAAGAGATAGATACACATAAAGGGTTTATAGTGGAGCTTCTGGTGCAGAGCAGTAAAGAGAGGTTCCAGAAGAAACAGTCCAAGAGAATAATGAGTGAGACATCTTCTCTGTGACTGTTACTTCTTACCACTCTCAGCACAAACTCTCCCAACTCTTCCAGTCTTCATTTCCCCCTTAAAACAGTTGAGAAAAGAAAAGGCAATTCCAGAAATGTGGGACATAACATCAGTTTGGGGAGCGATGCCACATGGCCCGTGCTGAAAATGGTGGGGGAAAAAAGGAATACTCCATTTTGAGAATTGTATTAGAGTTACTTAGCATGAAATAAGAAACTTCTCTGCTCAGACAGTGGCATTGAAACGTTAGCACTAGAAGAGGTTGAAGAAAGAATGCTCTCTTTAAAATGACAGAAGAGGAATTGCTGTCCTCGTGTGAATGGGTGACATTGATCTGAAATTATTAATTTACACTTGTTGGTAGTTTACAGTTACTAGCCCCTTTAAATGACATTATAGTGAAAATGGGCCAATTTGGAGAATGATGAGTGAAGTTCCTTTTCTTGGGAATCGTAAGGACTATTTTTAAAAATTTTGCTGAGACTTAAGACAGATACCACCCTACTAGAATTGATGAAGAAGAAAACAGAACTTTATTATGATTTGATTGCAGGGGCGGAAGCTATATTAGGCACAAAGAAATACTATGAACAGAAATAATGGGGTAGAAAAAGCATTGAGAATGGTAGATTGAAAATCTATGTTTGGAGTGTAGGGAGCATTGAGTGTCATTGGGGAAGGTGTCTCAATAGGAGTGATAAAAGAAGAAAATTTTGAATAAGTAGAGAAGTCTTAAAAGTATGAATCAACAGAAGAGTCCAGAGTAGTGCCGTTTAGCAAGGACTTATGTCATTAAAAAAATTTATTAGCCATATAAAAAGTAAATAGAAAGAGTTGAAATTAATTGTATTTAACCCAATGTGTCCAAAATATTATTTCAGCATTAATCAATATAAAAATGTTGAATGAGATGTTTTATATCGCTTTTTCATACTAAGTCTTTAAAATCCAGTGTGTGTTTTACACTTCCAGCACAACTCAATTCACACTAGCCATTTTTGAGATCATCGATAGCCTTATGTGGCCAGCGGTGACCATATTCCACATAACAGATCTAGGGAGTTGTAAGAATAGAGTAACGTGAAAGTGATGGGGGAAATGGAGCTTTGAACTAGGGTGGGTAGTAAAGTCCTCAATGTTAGGAATAGTGGAGAGAAGAGAGCAGTGAGCTCTAAATGGCAGGGAAAAAAGAGAATTCTGCCTTGAGTGGGCTGGGCAGAGATGATCTTGTGGGTGAAGGTGTGTGTAAGCTCTGACTGAGTAATCGACGCTAACCTGTAGATGTGGAGATGTGCAAACACACATCACACAGACAGTGGGTTAAGAGGATGCTATGTGCTGGGGGGATGGTGAAAAGAGCTGTCTGTTTGGAGACATGCAGAAGAAAACTTTAAATTGGGGGTACCTAGAGCAGTGATTCATCCAGGGAGAAAAGGGTTGGGTTGCCTGAAAGCAAATACTTAAGAAGTGAGGGATGGAAGATACTCCATATGTAATTGTTGGATGGAAGATAAAAATATAGTGAGAGACTGATATGAAAGATAACACCAGTTGAGTACGGTGAAGAAAACATTTGTAGTTGAGATGATAGAGAGAAGAAAATACGATGGGACAGACCTGAGAGAAGGCAGCAGTGTAAGTGAACTTGATTTTTAAAAACTAAGCAGAAAATGGTTTGCCAATTTCTGAATAGAGATAATAATGGAAGTCATGCCAGAAGACAGGGAAACTTCTGGAAGCATGATATTTGGATGCTGATTGCTGTAAGCTAAGCACCTGATTGTAGCCAGAGACCCTTTGAGATGATCATCAGTTAATTTCTGAATAGGTCTCTCTTATGGCTTTCAAGGTATATTTACTCATGAGAGAAAAACAGGCGATGATTATGTGATGTGGAATCAGAGACTTCTGTGCTTAGAAACAGGAGGGAGATTTTTCTCGGACGTGATGGTGACCCAGAATGTATTTTCCTAAAAATTCTGAAGAAGAGTATGCAGTGAGAGTGATTGCTCCGCTGACATTTAAAGGAAGGCAAATATTGCATTAATTTAATGTGAGTGAAGCAACATTTATCTAGGAGGCATGACACATGTGTTCAGGTCACAACTTTAGGGTTCAGGTCACTCATTAGCTGTGCAATTGTTGTCAAGTCGCTCAGTTCAATTCAGGGACCATTTATTGTGTGTCTCGTATGGGCTTAGTGTGTTCAGGACACTAGGAGAGATTCAGTCTTGTAACTTCCCTAGGCTTTGGTTTCCTTGTGGGTAACATAAAAGTCTTGGTTCAGATGATTTTTTATGTTCCTTTCAATCCCATAGAATAAAAGCTTATTTTTATAGCCTCCACATTTAGAGTAGGGTTCTTACTATGGACCCCACGGGCCTCTTGTGAGGGGGATCTGTTAAGTATGGGTAGGGAAAAATTACATCTTTATTAACTTCTAACTAAAATTTAGCACTTCCTTTAATTATAAATGTAGGCCAGAAACCACTGTAGTTTTCAGTAGTACCTGAGATTTTTGTCACCAATAGAAATCACAGATATTTTCATATAAATTTCCAGTCTTTGCAGGCATCTTTTTATTTAATAAAGAAACATATATGCTTATATCACAAATTCCTTTTAAATGTTTATAAATATATTTTTATATAATTGGCCTCTAATGTAATCCTATGTGTTTTAAGTTAAACAACTAAAAGCATTATAGGTTTTATCAGCCTGCCAAGGAGTTCGTGGCTCAAAAAAGGTTAAAAATCCCTGGGGGGGCGGGCNCCCAGTGATGCAGCCCGGAACACTTGGTATTTGATAGGTCAGGTCAGTCTTTCATTCCAAAGTCAGCAAGGCCCAACAGGGGGCAAAGGTGAGGACACCACCAGCAGGAGGTGTGTGTGTGTGTGTGTCCATGTGTACACATGCTCACCTCCATGCATCTGTATGCATGTGTGCGTGCACACGTGCGTACATGTGTGTTGAAGGTGGACGGAGGGCAGTGGGGCCAGATTATAAAGGGTTGGAAGAGTCTTGAAGGAGGGGCCAGGACTGATGTGGGCAGAAGGGGTAGTTTCTTCATTAGGAAGGGAGCCGATGAAAGAAGCATTTAGGAAGCCCTGCCTGGCAGTGGGACCCATCAGGAGAGGCTCCCCTAGGGCAGAGTGATGAGCCCAGGTCATGAGGTTCAAGGCTTTCTGAGCATTGCAGATGGACGTGGTCCTGGTTTCTGAGAGCTTAGCAGGACACGCATCACTCAGTCCAGCCACTGCTGTCTTGGCCCCTGAGAAAAAGACTTTCAGTGTTAGTTTCCAATCTGTATCTTATTTTATGTTAATTTCCCCAAAGTGAGTTAAACTGGAAGACCTGTGTTACTGAAGCCCTGGCAGGGGGCCCTGTCTCATGCTGTGTCGTGTCTGGAGGGGGCTATATGATGTCATGAAGGGCAGTGGGCCTGGGGTGGGGAACCCAGTTCTCTGAGGAGTTGGGTCAGGACCAATATGGCTGTTGGCAGGTCCCCCTGCCCTGCCTCCTGGCTTGTCCCACTTCCCTCACCCCATCCTGGAGGCCCCCCTGCTGTCCCCGCCTCTCTCCTCCACTCACAAGCCTAGAAGCATCTGTCTAGATTCCTAAGCAAGACCAAATAATTAAACAGCCCGAGAGTTCGGCAGATTGGTCTCCCCTTTGGGAAAATACAAGAAAATCAACAATTAACACTAATTAATCTCCTATTAACACCAGATAATTAGGAGACGAGCAATTCCCTGTAATCTGATGGCGGCTCTGACAGCTAATGATGTCCCCACAGTCAGGGACAGGGTGAGAGGAGGAGGCAGAGCGGCAAATGGATTTCCAGGGACCTCACTGCCCGCCTCCCTGGCCCTGTTCCTCCCGCCTCTGGGACCGAGGGAGCCAGCACAGTCAAGTGCCGCATTCGCCCCTTCACCCAGGTGGGCGCCATGATCAACACGTGCAGGAAGGAGTCCCATCCCTTCCCCATGATCGGCAGCTGTCCCAGGCTCGGCTGGGGTACCTGTCGTCCGGTGAGGAGCTCCTTCCTGCAAGGAGGCCTCCATGGCCCACCTGGGACCACTGCCAGCCCCAGTTCTCCACGCCGGCCTGGGCGCTCAGGAGACCTGGCTTTGATGTTTGTCCATGTGACTATAGGCAGGTCACTGGGATTCTTTGAACCCAAGTCCCCTGCATGTGATACAGCCTGGACCTTAACGTGATGCAAAGCTGTGGGGCCATAGAAGGTAACCAGTGGGAACCAGCACAGCCCTGACTACACCAGACACTGTTCTCAGGTGTGCGACCTGTTACATGGGTTCCCTCAGCCCTCCCGACAACCTCGGAGGTAGGAGGTAAGAGTGCAGGCTCTGGAGCCAGGCCCACTTCCTGTGTGACCCTCAGCAAGTTGCTTAATCTCTCTGGGCCTCAGTTTCCTCATCTGTAAAATAGGGACATAACAGCATGCCTGCTTCTTAGGGTTAGTGTGAGAACTGAGTGACTTCACACCTAGAAAGCCCCCTGGATGGGGACTAAGCTGGAGTCAGTGCTCAGTACCCGTTAGGTGGTGGGGTTCGAAAGTTCAGTAATGTATGCCAAAGCCCTTGGAAAGCTGTTAGCCCTCATCCCAGCGTAGGGCATCGTTAGACAAGGGAGAGAGAGATGCAGGTTAGCATAGCCACAGGAGGCTTCCTGGGAGGGGTGGGGGGACTTGAGGTGGGGTGAAGAGCCGGAGGAGGAAGGCACAGGCACCCAGGCAGCCAGAGTGCAGAGGCAGAAATCAGCGTGAGCCAGGAAGGACAGAGAGACTGGCCCGAACGGCGGACAGGAGGAGAAGGTAAAGCAGGAAATTGGGTGTAACCTGCCTGTGCTTTCCTAGCTCTAAGGAAGTGAGGCCGAGAGGCCTGTCCCAGGCAGACAGCCTGGGGCAGCTCCGGTGAGCACTGCCCAGGTGCAGGGCCAGAAGCAGAGGGCCACAGGTGTGTGAGGTTCCCTGGATGAGGCCTCCCACCTGCTTCCACTACCCGGCAGCGTCCCGTACCCGCAGCTCTCCCAGCCCACCAGGCAGGAGGGTCTTCTCTCCTCGTGCAGGGTGTTAAAGCCCCTAGTGTTATATGCCAGTGTGTTTAGGGGAGGGGATGATGTATGTACAGGAATGATGCCTGGAACGTGGCGCTTAGCCTGTCTCACATTTTACAAAGGGTCTGTGGCCACTGCCTGCAGCGTGAGATGCGGCAAGAGATTGCGTGTATGAAGCACGAATCTGCTCATGGGTGTCACGGGCAGGCGTGCGTGGGCATGACGGTACCTGTGTGTGTCCGAGCCGTGTGTGTGTGGCTGCCTTTCCGACCCCATGGAAGATCCCCCAGCGCAGGCAGCTCCCCTAGCATGGCTCGCCCCTCACGGCCTCAGGTCCCCTCCGCAGAGAGGCCTCCCTTCACCACTCATCCAGGGCAGTGCCCTCCCAGCCATGCTCAGTAAGTCCTCGAGCCTACTTATGTTTCTTTGCAGCGACATATCTGTAAGTTGTGTTTTCCATCTGAAAGAGACAGTCCCAGATGGCAGGGACCTGGGTGTCCCCCTCGTTCTGTGTCCCCAGTGCTGGGTCCATGGTGGCCTCAGTAAATATTTGCTGCATGAAGAAATGAAAGAGCGAACCTGGTTCCTACGTGATCCCACCCCCGTTCCTTCGTCAGGCCTCTGCTGGCCTCGTCCCTTCTCCCTGAACGGCCTTGTCCCCACCAGCTCCTGAGTTCTCCTCACCGTCACAGCCCAAGCCCCCCGCTCTGTGAAGCCCCTGACTACCCAGCCCTCCTCCCCTGGCCCCCTCTAGTAGCCATCTGTACCCCTCACTTAGCATTGGGCAGATTCTACCTCACACAGTGATTAACCTTTTTATCCTCTCAGGAGCTACAAACGCATCCCTTTCCCATCCAGAAACATCCAACAGGGAGCCTTGTAGAGGCAGACAATAGAGCAGGATGGCAAGATAGTTAAGGCCAAGAGCCACATCGCCGGGCTTCGATTGCTTGAACTACAACTTGGGCAAGTTATTTAACTGCTCTGTGCCTCAGTTTCCCTTCTCTGTAAAACGGGGATAGTAATCCCCATTTTATTAGTAAACTATTGTAGATAATACCTTGTAGGGATAGGATTAAGAGAGTTAATACATGTAAAGTGCTAAGAAAAGCACCTGGCATAGGTTGTGCGTGATAGAAATGTTGGCTGTCATATTGGCTTCCTGTCACGGCCATAACAAAGTGGGTGGCTTAAAACAATAGCAGTGCATTCCCTCACAGCTCTGGGGGCGGGACATTTGAAATCCAGGTGCTGGAAGGGTTTGGTTCCTTCCGGAGGCTCTGAGGGAGGATCTGTTCCACGCCGGTCTCCCAGCTTTTGCAGGTTACCCATCAGTCTTTGGTTTGAAGGTGCATCACTCTGATCTCTGCCTCCATCGTCACAGGCTGTTATCCCTGCTCATGTGCCTACACCTGTTTTCTCTGCTTCTAAAGATAAGTCATATTGGATTAGGACCCACCCTAATGACCTCATTTTAACTTGACATCTGCCAAGAACCTATTTCTAAATATGTCACATTTATAGGTATGAGGATTAGGACATCAACATATCTTTTGGGAGGACATAATTCAACCCACAACAGCTGTTCCAGTGCTGTCTGGTCATCCTGCGTGGACTGACTGGGACCTGCAGTGTCGGGTAACCCTGGGAATCTCTGCCTCCTCCTCCAGGTGCTGGAGCGCTGGTGCACGTCCCCGCGGACCATCGAGGTCCTGATGAACACCTACAGTGTC